AAAATCATTCTAAACAAATTATTATTCAAAGTTGGTCAGTGATGTTGTCTAAGAAATTCAACCATCACTCTAAACTGACTATACTAATAATAGGTTTATATTTTTCTTACGGAGAAAATGTCAGTCAACATAATCCAGTTAGAATATTCATAAAATTTCAAAGTATTTTCTACTTTCAGTTTGTTATGATGTGTACTGCACTATACGGATTTACTGATTTCTGTGAATCTTTCAAGTCTAAAATAGAATGAAACATTCATCTCTGGTTTTACTGTTAGCCATTATCCAAATTTAATATACACTATTTTAGTTTGAAAGAAAGACAACGTAGATATCAGTTGTTTATTAGCTCTTCTGAGGAATAAGGCTGACAAAAGGACAGGTTATCATCCCTAACAAAAAACCATTCAACTACGGGTCAGGATAAACTTCACTCTTGTTCGCAATTTTGACCTGACAATTTACCAAAATGAAGCGGAAATTATTATTTACACCAACATAATCTATGATGGAGAGCGTGTTTCGTTCTCTGTCGTTTGAACTGGCTTATATCAAAAATGTAAAGTTTTCTACGACAAAAATACCACTCAATCATGCTACGGACGTGTCAAGTATAGTGCAATCAGTCATTACAGAGGAAAAATTGCAACATAACAAAAGACATACCTCCAATTAATCATACAATAATAATTATTTCAAAATATCTAAAATTGAGTGACTAAATAAACGAAAAACATGATCGTAATTACTGACTACGACAGACTTATATCACTTGAAAACGTAGAGTTTATCTCCAGCCTTCAAATACTGACGGATAAATCTGTCATTTATCTCCCAATGAAATTTAACGTCTTTTATCGTTTTGTTTAGTACTACTATTACTACCACTGTCACCTACCCAAACACAAGAACTGCTAATGGCAAAAATACTCATAATATGATGTGTATGATACTTATGCTGACAGATATCAGTTGTACGTAGCAGCAATCGGAAATACAATATCTGTTAACAGAATATTGAAGTGAACAGAAAAGGAAACAGTGAGTCAATTGAATAAAAACTAAATTGGAATAATCGTAAAGTATATGAAAGACAATCGAAGAAAAATGTGCAAATAATGTATGCAGATTTTATGGACTACCAAAAATACATAAAACAGATGTCCCAATAAGACCTGTTGCTGATTATATCAATTCACCAACCTACAATCTTTCTAGATACCTAGCTAAGATTCTTAAAGCATATGAATGCACAATCAAACACGGAATAAAAAATTCTAATGATTTTAAAGATGTTATCTCTAATATTCACATAGAAGAAGATGAAATAATGGCAAGTTTTGATGTTTGCTCATTATTCACTAATGTTCCAATTAAGAAAACATTAGATATTATATATAATCTCTTAGATTCTGACATTGATCTTAATTAGCGCTGTCCTCTAGTTACCTCGGATCTATGTTTACGTTCAACTATATTCAGTTTTCGAGGGGATTTATACAGACAGACAGACAGAAGGTGTAGCTATGGGATCACCGGTTTCCCCAATTGTTGCTAACCTCTTCATGCATTCATTGGAAACTAGTGCCATCTCAATGTGTCCTCAGGCACAAAAAGTATGGTTAAGATATGCAGATGACACTTTTGTCATTATAAAACGAGACCATTTGGACGAACTGTTTAAACTTGTCAACAACTTTGATGTAAAAATCAAATTCACCAAAGAGTTAGAATCTCTTGAACACAAATTACCTTTCCTAGACTGTTTAGTTGAAAGGAAAGATAATGATAGCTTAAAAATTAGTATATTCCGAAAGCCGACAATTTCAGGAAAATATCTAGATTTGAAATCGGCACATCCACACTCGACCAAAGTGACAGTGGTCAAAAATATGATTACAAGAGCTCAGAAACATGTCACTGAACCAAACGATATGAAAAAGGAAATAAATTTAATTACATCTACCCTAATGATGAACAATTATCCGAAAGATTTTATTAAAAGAATAATTAAGAATGAAAGAAAAGACGGTATGGATAATACAAAAAGATTACAGAAAAAGGAATGGGTTAACACAGTGGCGATCCCATATCGGAAAAGTGTTTCACAAGATATTAGAAGAATCTTAAATAATCAAAATGTAAGAGTATTTTTTCAAACAAACAATACCCTAAGATCAAAATCAGTAAGAATTAAAGATCCAATTCGCAAAGAAGAACAAAAAAATTGTATCTTTGAGATCAGATGTAGTTACTGTAATGCAACATATGTAGGTGAAACATCAAGACAACTGAATGTGAGGGTGAAGGAACACAAACAATGTTTCAAACACATTCTTAAATCCTCAGATGATGTAAGGAAACTGGAGAACAAATCAGAGAGAGCATTACACTCCATAGAATTGGGTCATACAATCGATTTCGTTCACACAAAAATGCTTCAAAAAGATTTTAATTCTTACAAGGAAAGACAAACAGCTGAAGCCCTATACATTTGGGCTAATCCAAACAATATTATTAGGAGGGATGGGATACAATTAGCAGTGCCATGGCAGCTAATCATTAATAAGTAAAAACCTGAACTCCTTAACGGTTTTTCATCTATTTTGTATTATCTAAATGACAACAATTTGCTTTCAATGATTCTAATCAGTTGTATTATCGAAATTTGTCAAACAATTCACTGGAATTTTGAAAAAAATGACACTTACATACAGTTTCAAAATTACACTCTTCAAATTTCACTCTTTTATTATTTCTTTTTTGTTTTAATTATCTTCATTTTATACATGCTGTGACAGATATGATTCATATCATATATTACAAATTGTATGGTGCCTTATAAATTCACGGATAAGAGACAATATCTAATGTGAATGTAATTTCTCCTCTTACGTTTTCTATACAATATGTTACATAAACACTTATCATTTCACATCATACACCTCTTACACACTAATACACATACCTAGTTTAGACATTGTTAACGTTGATTGGATGACCTATTCAGTGTACCATGAACCCGGAGAACCATGTACCTATTTATATTCGATAATTTTGATGTTTGATTATAATTCCTTGAAAAAGCTTGGACCAGATTGCTAGGCAAAACGTTGGATTTACTACAAATTCATTCGCTGAAATTTTCCAAATATATATCATTCCTATTTAACGTCTAAATCAGTATAAATCAGAAGGGGTTTTGTGGAGAATTTAGTATTTTCACAGTTGAAATCATGAGTCAATTGAAGCTGGACCACCAGTGCTTCCAGGTTTTCGATGGTGGTCTAGCTTCAATTGACTCATGATTTTAACTGTGTAAATCAATATAATTCAAAAACTCACAAAATAATAGAACTTAATTGCAAATAAAAAAACGCCATAACGAAAACAGAAACTCCCATCATATGCATAACTATGTGGTTTATAATGCATAACAGAACAATAGGTATATAATAATTCGTCACCCGCAAGAACGATCAAACACATACCATATATAATGGTAGGTGACTGTGGAATAGTCCTCAAAGTCCTGTCTTTCATACTTATTTAATGTACATCGCCAGTATTTAAGTCCACTTTAAACGTCTCTATTTCCTTTTTCTTTCTGTAAATATAGATTGCTTTTGGCTGTTAGATGCATTGCTTCAATTCTCAACCAGTAGTATGGGACAAATCCCACGAATTTTAATTGAACAAATGTTTACACCGAATACAGAAATCTGGATAGATTCCTCACTGACAGCACCTTTACGCGCAAAAGGTTTGTTCAATCCACCTTTTTTAAATATTTGCTTCTTTCCATAATTAAAAGCAAGTGACTAAGTGTTTTCGTGTAGGTTGGTTATTATTATTATTAGCTTTATTCAAAATTATATTTTTGGTGCAATATAGAATTCTCAGCACAAAGTACTCCAACAAGTTTCCGTTTCTTACTTCTTCGTCCTTCCTGACGATAAATATTGAGTGATCATCAGTCATAAGTTAGCAGCCCAGTCAATCGACATCTGGATAATGTAAATTCTTCTCGCTGCATATTGCCAGCGACCACGATATATCTGATTAAGCCTTCTGTAGCCTTTACAGCGAAAGGTCTTACACTTTTCAGAAATGCACCTGAATAGGTTGTGCGATTAATAGGCATTATGATGTATTAAAACAAACAAAATTAGATAACTTATTGAAATATCTAGATTACAGGAACAGGTAGCCCAGATGTTTAAACACGTCGCCAATAGCTACTGAGCCATTTTTTATGAGTAGCTTGAACTGTGATCTTATATTTTTTTGCTTAAATTCTCTATATTGTTTCAAATACTGCTTCCGATTCCCTATGTCAACATCAATCTAATGTCAGTCGACTAATCAAACTGAAGCATATTGAATGGCGTTATTCTTGATTCTTCATTAATCCAGAGTTCTGTTTTCGTATTAGTTGTTTACCATTCGCGCTAGATTTCATTTTTTTCGTGGATGTAGATGTGTGTGTGCGTTTCTTACAACCCTCATTCCGGCATTTTGGAAGGATGCTTATAAAGGTACCTGAAAAATGAGACTGAAAAGAATCCCTTTAGCATATGATTGTGTGGTAGTAGCACAAAATGACATTCATAAGTGGACTAACTCGAGTGGTTCTCGATGCATCAGCTTCTTAAATTTCAGGCATTTACTTCATTGACAGAAATCGATGAGGTATAGAGAGATGTTTCTTTCTTTAATGGTTGACCTTTCCTGATTCAATTATTTGTTTATGCCAATAAACTGCATCGCTCTAAATGCTGATTGTCTTAGAGAAACATGTTACTGCTGTCACACTCTAGTCCCGTCAATAGTATGGATTCACACGTAGACTTTAATTCACTACTATTAGTCTTATAGCTCATCAATTGATTTATTTCTTATGGCAGAACAATAAAACACCAAGCATTTTAGCCAAAATAACTAGATTTCGTTATCTTCTTTATGTAAGCCTGACCATCATCGAATTGTTCTTGTTGATAATGAATATATCTCCATTATTATCACGATTGAATAGGATCTGTGTTTATGCACTTCTCCCTTTCGATTTTATTTTAAAAGATTTCCAATTAAATTTGTATAGTAATGTGATAAGAAAAGAATGGAGTTTATCTACATTGAATACTAGTTATCTACCAATTGAAGCTTATTATTCTGTTGAATTATGTTATATCGCTCCAAAAGCTTCCATATTGATAGATAATGGTAAACCAAATGAGTAAGATTCAATTATCATTTTTGTTTGTTCATAAAGTTTATATGGGTTTAACAAATACATTGAGTAGTATCAACACACGTACACATCCATTGGGTTTTTCAATAAATACTCGGATAACAATATTATTATATTAATCATTGTTATTATAATGAATGACTTTATTCAATAAAACATTTTGAGGACAATATAGACTTCTCTGTACGTAGCACTTCAACAAGTTTCTTTCCATTATTTCTGTTCTGATTTGACGATATATACTGAGTGATATCCAGTTAGATGTTAGCAGTTCAGCAATCAACATCTGAATAATGTTCGTTCTTGTCAATACACATTGCCAGCCAACACAATATGTGTTTTGTAACTTGTCCAGCAAAATGTCGTTCACCTCTCATAAACGCCGCTTATTTAGATATATCTAAATGGAAGGAACAGGTAGCCCAGTTATATTCAAGTTGGCCGACTACAATCACATTTACTGTATTGACAAGCAATCGAATTATTTCGATGAGGATAGAATATTTAATGTCATATTTTCGAGGAACAAAACTTTTATTTGTTGTCTAGATGCATATTTATCAAGCCGATCAATACTGATTGGCAGAAATAATTCAGATAGTTAAAACATTATTAATTAAAAAATGTTCAGTGTTCCTTCAATTAGGGTGTTCATTAATTATATTCTGCCTTTTGGAATGAAATATTGTAAGAGAGAATTTTGGGCTGTTTATTATGTTAACTCTGTTACACATATTTTTCCTAGTCTCCTTAAACCTAAATCATTTCGCAAAAATATAATGCCCATTTACCTCATTTAGTTTCTTTGAGAATTTTGAAATAATTTCCGTTAGACTTCAATAAACGGACTAGATATCTGATCATATCATGAATATCTCCAAGTCCTAGCAATATAAATGGCGTCACTCGTGAAATAAGGCAGCAATACTCTCACATAACACTCGCCAACTCTCGTATGTCTCTGCATTAAGTGTGTACGTTCACACTGAGACTCTAATATCAGCCATAAAAAAAGTTACAAACGCTTGGTAAGAATTTCTTCAAACCTCTTTGAACAAGTCAATGAATATGTGAATTCAATAGCTTAGTGGATAACGTATTCCCGATTGAAACGATAACTACTTTGTTACAATCTGAACGTGAACATTGATATTCACTGGAATCCATGCACATTGATCGGATAAGTCTCCAAATCGCCCCCAAATGCCCTGGTACGGCCGAGAGTGGGGAGAGTCCGCTCTCCCTCTCGACATGCTTTCACATGGCCGCGCGAATATATAGCCTCTGCCAGGGAAGTCCTACACACTGTCTTCTCGTGGCGGGGGTGTTGTTCACAAAAGTAAGAGGACGAAAAGCGAATGTCCGGCGCTTAAACAGGATTGGTGGATGTGGAGGATCCACCGAGAAAAGTTGGGAAACCCTCATTACAAACCAATGACACACATGGGCTCCAGTATTTTGGAGGAACAAATGGCGTATGAATCAATCATTGGTCACCGGCTACCATGGGACTACATCTGCTTTGTGGACTTGACCTTCAGATCAAATTCTCGGGGTGTGGTCCCCTTCAGAAAACCACCTGCTTCAGTTTGGGAACGTGGACATTATCACAGCCCTCACACAAGTCGAATGAGATTTGTGCGGTGCATATGTACCTGGTGCTTCCTTGTACCAATATTTATGTGTTTAAACAAAAATTAAAAATAATAAGTCTCCAAATCAGATGATATTTACTTCTTGGATTGTAACACATGGATTGCCGTATCATTAAATCTGCCTAATCAGATAGATGACAGCAAGTCTGTATAAAATTCCTGTCACTTAGCATAACTTCATCATTACAGCGATAATTTTGATTATTCAATGTTTAAATAAATAGTAATATTTCTCTAGTGTTTGATTTCAGTTCATTCTTGTATCCCTTTTCGCTTTTGTATTTTCAGCTATTTTGTAAATAGAAATGTATTCTGTACAAAATGATACTTGTTTTTCATAGTATAACGATATATCGTAGCATTCAATATTCCACTGAGAATAAAGGTACTTATTGTAAGTAGTATGTACTTGTTAATCAGTCAATTATTTATATTGGATTGAATATAAATAATGATTCCACAGAACATAATGGACTAGCACAATGTATTCAGATAGCTAAGAAATGTGTCGGTGTACAATAAACTTGACGAAGATTATATGAAGAAATTTGCCTACGTATAATTTGATCATGTAATTGCATAGATTAGAATGATTTGTAGGTTGCTTTGATCTGTGATATGTACTGCTAAACAATGATGCTTAGTTACGGTAGCAAACGAAATATCCTTTGAATTACTAATGGTTACAGTTAGATAAAATGCAAACGCATTAGATAGTAGCCTTCATGCACATCATGTATTTATCATTGTATCACTTTTGCCGTATCTCTAGTTGAATTGAACCAGAAATCAGGTAACAAATATTCACAGAAAAGCATTCGAAGCTTCAGTCATATCACAATTTATCAGGATCAGATTATTCAACAAGTTCAGTGAATATCTAAATGAATATTATTTATTTAAAAGACGAGCTAGACTAATTCTTTTCAAATGTGAAACTTACATTGATAAAATTAAACATGACTGAATATGTTCTAATCATAATGATACTATTATGCATTCTACTAGAGACCACTACAATGTACTTGATGATAAATAAGGACAAGGAAACTAAAGACAAGAGATTTATTTAAAATTATACCAACTAACGTAGATGATCATTTGATGCTGAAATACACCACGTAGTTTATCATTTGTACATCCTAATTTTCCTTCTTATTGTGAGTTAATTTTTTACCTTATGCAGTTTGCTTACGTCAACCTTCAAAGTACATTTCAACAGAAGTGTGTGTTATTAAACGGGTTATTCAATGGGATCAATCTTATTTGTATTATTGTTTTTATTGAAAGAGTAGTAAAGGCTTTAAAAGAAATGCATAAGAAGATTGATTATTCACTGAATTACATAAATATAAATGTAAATATAAATGTATAGGTAGCAATATTTTGTTATCCATTAGGTTTAGGCATCCTATAGTTCAGAGGCAAACTATATAGTCCTTCGTTGAAATGAAGACCTGAATCGATGATTAAAGAGACTTTCCATGTAACGCAACGTACGATAACGGAAAGGATAAAGTCTTTGTTTCATCGGAAACAAACAAGGCTTGTGGGATTTAAATTGTCCTACACATATTCTACTAGAACTGTGAACTCGATACCGGCGATCCTACAGTCAATGTGAAAGCTATTATAAGAACAAGGACTACTTGGCTTTAAAAATTTCTGTTTTTAAATGTAAAGATTACAATTTAATTAGTACATTAATTAAAGGAATTTTAGTCACAAACATATTCCTCTCTATTGCGTATCTTGTCGAAATGAACAAATATTATGTATCATACCGATATAATTGGATAATAATGTCATTCAATTTGCAGGTTACGTGAAACTGGGATAGTCTGCATGCATCTCAGACGATATTGACGTTATGCCCGTTTCAGTAATGAGTTAATTGGTTGGTTATAGACATAACTAAACGTTTGTGTATATTAGCTTGCATGTATGCACAAACACATATAGATAGGAAGGGGAAATCATGGTCTGCAAGTAATAATGATTAAACACCTGGTCAGGTGACTACAATAGGAAAGAATTCCGGTGGGTAAATAATGGAATAAGATGGACAGACATCTTCTAGCGAGAAATATTTAGTTGAAACGGGTCATAGTGTTTATTATAATAGCTGAATTTATGAGTCCACATAAACTAGATCGTATTGAAATGTGACTCCTCAGTAGTGCGTGTTGACTAACGCGAACACGGTATTCGAACTATCTAAACCACTGAACCGGCATTGAACGGTGTCAGTGTCAACCTTCCATCATCCGATCAATTTAAGTATTCAAATTACCACAAACTCCATTCTGATCATATGGTTTATATCAAACAATTATATGCATGAGATATTCATCTATCCTTATGTTTAATAAGGCAGAGTATTATTAGGGAGTGATCGAAATCTTTGTCTTCCCATGTGATTAACATCCATAAATATCAGTAATGTAGGCACACCACAGAAGTAGCCTAAACTTATTAGACCCTGGACAGACTCCATTCAACTTGAACCGACCTGATTCCAGCGAAAATGTTTCAAATTATAACGAATCCCTTTTTAGAAGTCACTGGAAGTATATACTATGCCTCACCGAACAGCCGCACAAACAACATTGGTTAGCTCTTGCGCAGTTCCACAGGCCTTAGTGAAGAAAAATAACTCACAATTCACCTCGAACTCATTCAATCACTTTTTAAGTGTGAATGGAATAACACGTCCCCGCTCTTCTTCTAGACATCCTCAAATAAATGGGCATGCACATCACTTTGTCGTGTAGGTGTTGAGATTTTATCTGTTACAGAATTGGTCTAACATTTTTAAAATACTGTATATTCCCAGGTAGTAAATATGAGAAAAAACGAATCTGTGAGCTGATAAATTCACTCGGTGGATAACAAATAATGAGTAATAGTGAAATCGATAAATCACTCACACTCATTCTCTCCATACATAAGTTGACACGCATGAATTGTGAAAGCTTGGGAAGTGCAATGAATATACTCAAGAAATTTTGGTTGTTGGAAAGAAATACAACGAGAAAAGATATCATACACGTGAGCAACTACCACATGAATTGAAACGTTTGGCAGTTATTTCTCTTTGAATAGATAAATTGTAAATACGAAGTGTGGAATATTGTGCGACCACGATTGTAGACCACGATATATTCACTAGTTGATTGAAAGTATGTGTGCATAATACGTGTATTTCATAACATTGATATGGTTTCGTATACGAAGTGAATTAAGCAGTCACGATTTTATGTGATCCTGAAATGTAACCAAATGCTTCAGACGATATACCATTTCACATATTATTCAAAGTGAGTATGTTCGT